GCTGGCCCACAAGTACAGACCAGAGACAAAACAAGAGAAGAGGCAACGACCGTTGGCCCGGACTGAGAAGAGAGCTGCCGGCAAAGGGGATGTCCTCACTAAGAGACCACCTGTCCTTCAAGCAGGGGTCAACACTGTCACCACGTTGGTGGAGAACAAGAAGGCTCAGCTGGTGGTGATCACATATGACGTGGATCCCATCAAGCTGGTTGTCTTCCTGCCTGCCCCGTGTCAGAAGATGGGGGTCCCTTACTGCATTGTCAAGGGGAAGGCCAGGCTGGGCGTCTCGTCCACAGGGGACCTGCTCCACCGTCACCTTCGCGCAGGTTAACTCAGAAGACAAAGGAGATCTGGCTAAGCTGGTGGAAGCCATCAGAACTACAATGACAGATACGAGATCCATCATCACTGGGGAGGCAACGTTCTGGGTTCGAAATCTGTGGTTCCCATCACCAGGCTGGAAAAGGCAAAGGCTAAAGAATTTGTCACCAAACTGGGCTAAATGTACACTGTTGTCTCCTGTACATAAAAATAATAAAAGTTATCCTTCAGCCAGAAAAAAAAAAAAAGACAAAAACCCCAATTAAAAAGGGGTAAAGATCTGAACAGAGACCTCACCAAAGAAGATACATGGATGGCAAATAATGATACAAAAAGATGATCAGCATCATATATCATTAGAGAATAGATTACAACAATGAGATACCACAGCACACCTGCTAGAATTACTAAACTCTAAGAAAAAGGACAAACCATTGCTGGAGGAAAGACAAGAACTCTCATTCATTGCTGGTAAAGTGCATAATGGTACAGTCCCTTTGGAAGACAGTGTGCAAGACTAGAATATGCCACCCCAAGATATACCTCTTTTTTTGTTGCTATTGTTTTGGACAGGGTCTCTGTCACCCAGGCTGGAGTGCAGTGACATGAACACAGCTCACTGCCACCTTGATCTTCTAGGCTGGAGGGACCCTCAGCCTCCCAAGTAGCTGGGACTACAGGCATGAGCCACCAATGCCAAATAATTTTTGTGTGTGTGTACAAATCAATCCTTGCTATATTGCCCAGGCTAGTCTTTAACTCTTGGGCTCCAGTGAGCCTCCTGCCTTGGCCTCCCAAAGTGTTTGGATTATAGGCATGAGCCACCACGCCCAGCCCAGCATAAGGATTATTTTGAGCTGATTCTTTTGAGACACTACAGACACAGAAGCTCTGAAAGGAGGCTGGAAGTTACCTTCTTGTAAAGGAAATTTACATCTATAAAGGAAACCTACCTCTGTTTGTAAAGGTGTCTCCCTCTCATATCAAGAGGATGACTAAATCATGAGAAATGCTTATCAATGCAGAAGGCACCACTTAAGTGTGAACAACAAACCTTGCTCTTGTTTACCTTGCTTTTCCTGGTTACCTCCCCACTACTGACCCCCACAACACCCACTCTTTCTTTGTTGAAGTTAGTATTTAAGCCTGAACTCAGACCCACCTCTTGGGGATTTACTAATTTTTCTTGGGTGTTTCCCATGGATACATCAAGAAAAAAATTATTCAATTATATTTGTTATAGCCTGGTAATGTAAATTAAAATAAAACCCTAAGCCCCATGCCAACTGAATAGGCCCCCTCTTAACCAAGCAAACCTCAGAAAACCCTTAAAACTGAGTTCCAGGAGTTTAGATACAATTGACCAGCATTAATGTTATTTAAAAAAAGAAAAAAAAAACAGAGATCATTAAGAATAACAAAACAGATTCTTTATGACAATAAGATACTAAATTATTAACAGGACCCAACCCCAACCCTAACATGCTAACCCTAACCCCCCAAAATATCTGGGCTGCGTGGATTCAACAAATCACAACTGTTAAAAATGAGGCTAACATCCAAGAGAAACCAGTGAAGGAATAAAGTAACAAAGAAGATAATTGATTTTTATTTTTATTTATTTATTTTTAATAAATGTCCGTTTTTTGTTATTTCGGGTTTTTTAAATTTATTTTTTGAGACATAGTCTCGCTCTTGCTCAGGCTGGTCAGAACTCCCAAGCTCACGGGATCCTCCCACCTCGGCCTCCCAGAGTGCTAGGATTACAGGTGTGAACCACTGCGCCTGGCCTGAAAATTAATTTTAAAAAAATAATAATAATAAAAAAGCTAACCAAAAAGCTTTGGAAGATGTTTATGTCTCAGAAATGGGAAGAATCAACAGGACTCCTGATGATGGATAAGAACTAGGAGCTGGCCAGTCTCTGAGAAATATGTTGAATGAAATTTAAGAACAGTCACAGACTTTGAAAATTGCAGTACAATGGTGTCTCTTTCTCTTGCAAGAGGCGGTAAGTGATTGAGCTGAGCATATTGCTGGGGGCTAGACAGCAGGCTTGAGACTTAGCAAGCCTCCAGGAAAAAAAAAACGCCCAAGCCACACAGCACAATTGGCCTTGGAGGTCAATGCCACAAAATCCCTATCAACAGCCTTGTCTAGAGAACACTGCACGACTACAACTGCCATGGGTAATTTTGAGAAAACACATTAAAAATTAAAATAACTTTGTTTTTAACTATGATTTTTTTTTCAGAGACAGGGGCTTACTCTGTCACTCAGGCTGGAGTGCAGTGGCACCCTCATAGCTCACAGCTTCCAACTCCTGGGCTCAAAGGATTCTCCCACCTCAGCCTCCCATGTAGCTGGGACTACAGGCGCCACTACCATGCACTGCTAATTAAAAAATATATACATTTTTTTTGTAGAATTGAGGGTCTCACTATGTTGCCCAGGCGGGTCTTGAACTCATGGCCTCAAGCAATCCTCCTGCCCCACCCTCCCAAAGTGCTGGGACTACAGGTGTGAGCCTGTAGGATTTTATGTTGTTTCAACTTATATAGGGATTCAGTAGAGAAATAAAAAATGAATAAGTATTGTTCATTCTTGAAAGTAAAAATAATGACATTTTCAATTTAGGAAAATTTCCTTAGGCAGAGTTTTCCTTTTATGACAATATAAAAATTTTCAAACTACAGTAAAGAGAGTAGCATAATGAATATCTACATACACAGTACACACACTTAATAATTACTGATATTTTGCCATATTTGCTTCATGTTTTTGTACTGTGAAACATTATAAGTTGCAGACATCACAAAATTTCACTCCGAAGTACTTCAGTATGCACCTATAGAAAGCAGACGTGATCTCCTATAAAAGCACAATAACACATTGTACCTAAAAAACTCAACAGCAATTCCTGTGTATCATCAAATACTTTGGGTGGGGTTTTCCAAGAACCAATAAACCTCGGGAGGCGGGGATCTGAGCCACGAGCACGTGCCCATGAGAAACAATATTTACACGGCGGAGAGTCTATGAGTTTCCTGCGAGAAACAGCAAAAGAAATATCCTCTTTGTACAATGAAGGGGAAAAAACTATTTTTTCTATAAAGCCATAAGGGCGTGGGAAGTATGCACCTAAAATTATGCACGAGAGCTTCCCTGGAGAGCCATGTGGGTGGAAATGCATGCCTGCATTTTGGTGTTGGGAATCCGTGAGGATCACTGAGCCTGACGCTGCATCTCTGCTCCTCCCACCAGTGCAGACAGCGAGTGCAGTCACCAGACAGTGAGAGCTGCCACCTCCCACAGGCTGGCCTCCGGCAGACCACATGTGGAGCTGCATTTGCTGTGGCTGCTCCACTGTCTTGGTGAAACCATCACAGTGGTCCTGGCCTTCAAGGCCACCGCAGCTGGAGGAGAGTGAGCTGGCTGGCGTCAAGGCACCTATGTGCCACCACCCCCATCTGCTCCTCACCCGAGTGACGCTCAGTGGGGTGCGGCTGGGAACCCCACCCTGTCCACTGACACACACACACCACCCCCAAGCCTGGACACGTCCTCCTCACGCGCAGTGAGGGCTGCGTCACCGCCTGCTGCAGCGACCTGGGCCACCCAGGCTCCTTGGCCCCGGACAGCTTCACCGCCACTTTCCTGGCCGGGAGCCTGCCTGACGCCTTTCGTGGGGCCAAGTTCCCGACGTCCAGTAGCACCTGGGTGACCTTCCTCCCTGTCTACCACAGCACCAGGGAGGTCACAGTGGCCACGGGGCTCTTCCCCAGCTTGGCCTCTTGTGCAGGGCTCCCCGGCACCTTCCTGTCCCCATGTGCTGCACTGTCCTGCTAAGGCCTGACGGCAACTCCCACAGGCTTAAGGAACAGAACAGGTGCTCGGTGCAGGTAAAATGTTGTTAGATACTTAGATCACCCATTGCAAAGAGATGCTCAGTAAAAAGCCGAATGTACTCTACCCTCCCCTTGACAAAGTAAGCTCTGTGTGCTGTGACAGACACAGGGACCCCAGCCCCTCCATCGTCAGTTTCAGGAGCGTGGCCCCCACACGCATGGGCCTACACAGCCTGGTTCATGCCAGAGGGACCAGGTTTGGGCCTACAGGACCCAGGGAGTGCAAGGGGGCTTCCTGCAGGGGCCCCAGGAACCCTGGGGACGTGTGCAGCTGGGAGTGGCACCGCAGAGAGGGGAGGGCTGGAGGGCAGGGGTCCCCTCGGTGGAGAGACGGGCTCTGAGGCCTCGGGGCTGGAGCAGCGCCTAGGGGATAGCAAGAGGAAAGAGCAGGCTGCGGGGAAGGGGGTGAGAGTCACGCTCCAGCCCAGACCCTGTGTGTGATCCCGCAGGCCCGGGCAGAGGTTCTGGGTGAAGACCTCCTGCAAGCTGGTGCCCCTGCTGGCCGGCAGTACTGTCACTTGGTGGGGCTGTCACTCCCATCTGCGTCTGTGGCCTCACCCAGGGCCACGGGCCTTCCAGGCCACTCTAGCGGAGCCTCCTCACTGGGGGGACCTCGAGGCTGACTCAGCGCAGGCCCCGCCTCCACCGCACCCCACCCTCAGCAGCCAGAGGACCCCCAAGCTCGCTGAGCCCCGCAACAGGGGAGGCCCCCTCTGCTGCAGGGAACACTGTCCTCAGAATGGCCACAGGAACAGAGGCACCGATACCACGTGTCAAACAAATGCCCTATTTTACTAAAAATCCACATGTACATTACATCTTACAAAAACAGCATCCATCTGGTCTCTTGGTCCCTTCCCTGACCCCATAACAGAAAGGGGGAATTCAGGGAGCTCCGGGGACAGACCCCTCAGATACTTGGGCTGGCACAGCACCCCAGCCCCTGGTCCAGTGCAGGGAGCCGCTCACTGCCGCCGTCGGTCCACCTGTCCCCCTGTCCAGAGCCCGCTCGGCCTCCCCAGGGCAGGCCCCTGGCCTCAGCCGGACGCGCGGCCAGTCCCCGCCTGGGCGGCCCCCTCAGGTGGAGAGCGGGTACCCATAGTGGTTGCGGTCAGCCTCGCCCAGGGTCAGCGTCAGCGACAGGCTGGGCTTCCGCTCCAGCTCTTCCTCCTCCGGGCAGTGCTGCGGGGGCCGGGCTTTGAAGAAGTCTGAGACGTAGCGGACCTGGCAGAGCGGAGGGAGGTGAGAAGCGGGGTGGGGCTGGGCAGGGACTGGGAGTGAGCGGGGTGGGAGGAGAGGGGTCCTGGGTGGGGGCGGGGGGCCGAGAGGAAGGGTTACCATGGGGTGGGCAAGAGGAAGAGAGCCTGGGATGGAGGAGTGGGACTCTAGGGGAGGGGGCCCAGGGCAGGAGGGGGGAGGGGGCCCAGGGCAGGAGGGGGGAGGGGGCCCAGGGCAGGAGGGGGGAGGGGGCCCAGGGCAGGACTGGGGTGGGGTGTGGCTCTGGACTAAGGATGGGGTCCAGGAGCTCACCGTGAGGCCAGCCACCAGCGCCCCCTGCAGGAGGCCAACAAGGACGTCGCTCCAGTGGTGTTTGTGGTCAGACACTCGGGTGTAGCCCACATAGAGTGCAAAGGCCACCAGGGAGAACTGAACTGTGGGCCGCAGCAGCCTTGCCCACTTCCAACAGAGCCGGGCCTGCACGTAGAGCTGGGGCAGGGCGAGGGTGAGTCAGCCTGGGCACCCGCCAGGCCCCACACCCATTGCACTGATGGCAGCACCAAGGCCCGGAGAGCACAGACGGGGTGGACCCAGGGCCTCTCGTCCTTATGAACCAACCAGTGAGCCTCTCATCACCACTCCCACCCACCCCACCTTACAGATGGGAAAACTGAGGCCCAGGGAAGGGAAGGGAGTGACTTAGCCTTGGTTTCCTGTGGACAGACTCACGGCCAAGAACACCATGCAGTACATCCCGAAGGAAGAGTGTCCGGAGTAGAAAGACAACCTAGGGAGGAAGGCCGTGGGCTGGCATCTTTAAACCCCTCCCTGGTCCCGCCCCCCTGGCTGTCTTCCCCAAAGTCTGGGAGCTCCTCGCTGGTCTCGGACACTTTGGAATCCCAGGAGAGAGAGCTTTTCCAGCTCCCTGACAATGGAACAGAGTTTCTGACCCAGGACTGTGAGGCCTGACTGCACAGCCACGGCCGATGACTGTCCACTGCGTGCCTATGACCCCCTCGTGAACATCCGGGACTCCTCCCGGAGCGTGCAGCTGGCCGCCCCGCTCAGTGTCAAGTCCTGTTGCCTGAGTCCTCTTTGAATCACATGTGCCTGGCTCTGGCCGGCTTAGCCTGCTCCCCTTTAGGAGAAATAAAACTCTCCTTTCCCAGCAGCATAAACCTCGTCCATGATTTCTGAAATTAACACAACTGTGTCTAGCAAACAGTTAACACCAGTTTTGTCTGCGCTCTTTTCTTTACAGGATTATTTCCTGTCTGTGGAACTGAGGGAAGTTTCATGTTTTCTGTCTATATAAACTCAAGATTGAGTAAAAGACATCAATGCAAATGGAGAAAACAGCATAGCAAGAACCTCCAGGCCCGGTGAGGTGTAATCCTAGCATTCTGGGAGGCCAAGGAGGGCGGATCGTTTGAGCTCAGGAGTTTGAGACCAGCCTGAGCAAGAGCGAGACCCCGTCTCTACTATAAATAGAAAGAAATTAATTGGCCAACTAAAAATATATACAAAAAATTAGCCAGGCATGGTGGCACCTGCCTGCAGTCCCAGCTACTCAGGAGGCTGAGGCAGGAGGATCACTTGAGCCAGTAGTTTGAGGTTGCTGTGGGCTGGGCAACAGAGTGAGACTCTGACTCAAAAAAAAAAAAAAGAAAGAAAGAAAGAAACTCCAAAACCAAAGGAAAAACTAGTGAAGGGTCACAATCAATGGCAACCAGAGGAAAACCCGAACCCTAACACGATGAAGATAAGATAAGCCTGTGGAATCTCAGAACAAACAGCTTTGTGGCATTTTAACTCTTCCTGGTCTGTCGCCTTCCACTGCCCTGACTGGTGTGACCCTAACCCTAGCAGACAACATGCCCTGTACAGGCACCAGAAACAGGTTTGCAAAGAACTGCAGCTGTTTGTTTTGACTATGTCTGGTGGCTCCAGGGCTGGCCTTTACACCACCTAAGGGCGCATTCTCTCAGTGTGAAGGGGGGAGGCATTTGTATGAAACATTAAAGGCATCAGTCACTGCCTCGGGCCATGGCAAGCACTTGAGGCACAGAAGAGACAGGTTGGAAAATCAGGTGCTCTGAGAATTCAGAATCTAGAAGGCCAGAGCTGGGCAGGGGCTCAGAAGATACCAGAAAGGCCCCAAGTAGTCACAGCTCACTGGCTCTGCACACAGAAGAGGTGCAAGTTAGGGCAGACTGCACACTTGCTCACCTGTTGAATTTTTGTCCCAATACAGAGCCTTTCTGCAAACCCTGGGAGATTTTTTTTGAAGGGGGGCTCGGGTGTCTAGGGAAATTATGCAATCGCTAGCTGACCACTAAGCTAACAGAAAGTCATGGCCACACCTGACAAAGATTACAGACCATAAAATTCGTTCAGAAAAGTCATTACACAAACAACAATAACTACAACAAACAGCAATAACACACCCTATGGAAGGAGAGGAGTAGAATCCTATTTCCAGAGTTGCTACATTATAATATTCAATATACTCAGTTTTCAACAAAAAAATTAAAAGGCATGTGATAAAATAAAAGATGTAGCCAATACACAGAGAAATAATCTATTAATAGAAACTGCCCCTGAAGAAACTCAGACATTGGACTTACTAGATACACACTTTTTATTAGCCATTTACAGTATGGTCAAAGAGCTAAAGGAACTGTAAGAACAACGTCTCAGGCCAGGTGTGTGGCCCACATCTGTAATCTCAGAACTCCGAAGCAGGAGGATCGTTTGATGCCAGGAATTTGAGACCAGCCTGGGCAACATTGTGAGACCCTATCTCTATATAAACTAAAACTATTAGCCAGCCTAGCGGGTGGATCGCTTGAGCTCAGGAGTTCAAAACCAGCCTGAGCAAGAGTGAGACCCCGTCTCTACTAAAAATAGAAAGAAATTAGTTGAACAACTAAAAATATATAGAGAAAAAATTAGCCGGGCATGGTGGCGCATGCCTGTAGTCCCAGCTACTCGGGAGGCTGAGGCAGGAGGATGGCTTGAGCCCAGGAGTTTGAGATTGCGGTGAGTTAGGCTGACGCCACAGCACTCTAGCCCAGGCAACAGAGTGAGACTCTGTCTCAAAAAAAAAAAATTAGCCAGGCATAGTGGTGCACACCTGTAGTCCCAGCCACTCAGGAGGCTGAGGCAGGAGGATGGCTTAAGCACAGGAGTTTGAGGCTCCAGTGAGCTATGATTGTGCCACTATACCCTAGGCTGGGCAACACAGCAAGATCCTGTCTCTAAAAAAATAAAAATATATATAATATCTGAAATAAAAATCCCCGACAGCATGTCTGAGCAAGCAAAAGAGAGTGAACTCAGAGATAGGTCAACGGAGATGATTCATTCTGAGAAGCAGAAAGAATGAAGAAAAATGACAAGCTTCAGACACCTGTGAGATACCATCCATCATAGCAACATACACCTAACAGATATTCCAGGAGAGGAGAGAAAGGAGCAGAAAGGATATTCGAAGAAATAATGGCTGAAAACTTCCCAAGCTTCATAAGAAACATTAATCCATACATCCAAGCAGCTCAATGAACTCCAAGTAGGATAAACCCGAAGGCAGCCACACACAGGCACGTGATTATGAAACTATCAAAAGATGATGCCAAAGAGAGACTCTTCCAGGCACGAGGGGTGACTCTTCCAGAGCGAGGGGTGACTCATTCTGCACGAGGGTCCCTCAGTAACAGCAGCGGCTCAATTCTCAGCAGAAGTCAGATGCCACATTCAAAGTGGGGAATGAAAACACAGCCTGTCAACCAAGAACTCTGTATGTGGCTGGCAAAGCTCTAAAAATGAAAGAGTAATCGAGACGGTCCCGGATAAACAAAACCTGAGAGAATGTAGTGCTAGTATACTTGCCCTGCGAGAAATTCTAAAGGGAATCTTTCAGGGAGAAACGAGGACACTAGACAGTAACTTGAATCCACAAAAATAACAAACACCACTAACGGTAACTCTATCGTGTAAAAGTCAGTATTAACTCATTTTTGATTTGTAACTCCCCTTTTATTCCTGTATGATTTCTAAAAAAACAACTGCATAAAACAGTAATTATAAACTTACGTTGATGGGCATACAATGTATAAAGATATAATTTGTGACAATAACATCACCGGGGTCCAGACCTATATAGTCTGTGTAGTAGCAAGCTTTGTATATAATATTGAAATTTAACTGTCATTAATCTTAACTACATTGTTATAAATTAAAATGGTCATTGTAATCCCTACTAAAAACATAACTCAAAAGACTCACTTTAAGGCCGAGGCGGGCGGATCGCTCAAGGTCAGGAGTTCGAAACCAGCCTGAGCGAGACCCCGTCTCTACCAAAAATAGAAAGAAATTAATTGACCAACTAAAAATATATATATACAAAAAATTAGCCGGGCATGGTGGCGCATGCCTGTAGTCCCAGCTACTCGGGAGGCTGAGGCAGTAGGATCGCTGAGCCCAGGAGATTGAGGTTGCTGTAAGCCAGGCTGATGCCACGGCACTCACTCTAGCCTGGGCAACAAAGTGAGACTCTGTCTCAAAAAAAAAAAAGACTCACTTTAGATCCAAAGATACAAATAGGTTGAAAGCACAAGAATGGAAAACAAAATATTCCATGCAAACAGTAACTCAAAGAGAACCAGAATAACTATACTAATATTAGACAAAACAGACATTAAGACAAAAATTGTTAGGAGAGACAAAAAATCACATATCATTCATAATGATAAAAGGGTCCATCTATCAAGAAAATATAACAATACACAGAGGTAAATGCTGGACAGAGCCCCAAAGTACATGAAGTGAAACTGACAGAACACTCTGACACGGACCAACTCCGAAAACACAGAAAATAGGTTAGTGGTGGCCCAGGGTTGGGGGGTGACAGCAAATGGGGACGGGGTTTCTCTGGGGTGTGATGAAAACAGTCCTACATTAGACAGAACAGGTGAATGCACGACACTCCGAATGTACTAAAACTGAACTGCACTCACTGACATGGATACAATAGTGAATTTTATGGTATGCAAATTTTATTTTAATTGTTTAAAAAGGACAGCAATTCGATGAGAAGTTTAAGGAGCCATCAGTAGAGATGGTACAAAGCCGGGGCGGAAGCCAGTGTGCAGGGCCTGAAACTCAGGGCGGGGGTCCCCTGCCTGTGGCCTCCCAGGGTCCAGAGGACCACGGGCACCCAGGGTCTTGCTCCTGCCCGGCCCCTGCCTGACCAGCGCCTGGGGCTTCTCTGGCCCCCCCCTCCCACAGGAGAGGGGACGTCTGTGGCTCAGCCTCCCCCGGCATGGCCCAGAGTGAAGGCTGCGACCCACACTTACCGGGCCTCGGTGACATTGGCGGGGCTTCCCCTGCACACCTTCTCCACCTGCACGTAGACTGAGCAGTTGACTCGGCTCCAGTCCGGGTCGCAGACAGCCAGGAAGTTGGGCCGCAGCCGGCCGATCATGTACTTGGCCAGGTCTGTCAGAGACTGGCTCACGGCGGCTCCGAACAGGAAGGTCCCCAACACCTTGTACAGGGCCGCCACGTAGTTGTTGAAGTCAGAGCGGGAGTAGAGGCGGTCCGTGTACACCAGGTAGGCTTCCCCCGCAGTCACCTGCAGACGGCAGCCAAAGGGCCACAAGGCTGGGCTGGGGTGGCCATGGGGACTGCCAGCGGTCTTGGCCAGCCCCCAGACCACCCTGAGGCTGCTGGGGGCTTGGGGACTCCAAAGGGGACCCTTGTCCCCACAAGTACCACCCAGGGCAGAGCAGTGCCATCAGCCACCCAGACCTCCAGGGCAGGGCTGTGCCCCTCCCCACCACAAGCCCCTCCCGCCTTACAAGGACCACGGTGGCTGTGATGGTGACCCCGGCCATGAGCCCGTGGGTGATGGTGTCCGGACGGTAGGGGTACCGGATGGAGTCATCGCCACAGTAAAATCCTCGCTTGTAGGGGGCATTCACCAGCGTCAGGATGGCGAAGGGCAGAGAGGCTGGGGCGAGGGAGAGAAGCCTTGGCCTCCAGGTCCCCGCCCTCCACTCCCATCGCACAGCCAGGAGCTTTGCTCGTGGCACATGGAGGCTGCCGCACCGTTCAGGTACCCGTGGCTCCCATCACCCTCAGACAGTCCCCAAACCTCTGCCCAGGCCCTCGTCCCACCCTCACCCTTCTCTCCCCTCACTCACCCTCCAGCCTCCTTTCTGCTCTGTGAACAAACCCAGCAGGCACCCACCCCAGGGCCTTTGCACAGGCTCTTCTCTCTGGCCCAGATATCTTTGATACCTTCTAGTCTCAGCCTCCTCCCCTCTCCTGCCTGTCCACCCCTGGCATCACTCCCAGAACAAGAAACGCCTGTATTCATATCCCTTGTCCCCATGTGGAATTATGCAAGCACTTATGTGACACTTGCTTGAATTTCCCGGTCCAGCCGTGAGCACCGGGAGGGGCCCTGCCATGTGCAAGGCTGAGTCCCCGGAACCTGCTTGGGCCTGGCCAGCGCAAGTGTTAGACCAGGACAGACACAGCCCTGGCCTCAGGGAGCCCAGTCCAATAGCCCCGGGGTCAAAGACACCAAGTAATGAGCCCAGGGTGGCCAGGGAGGCAGGAGCCAGCCACAGAGGACTGGGGCAGAAGGCAGCTCCCTACTCCATGGGCAGGTGCACAACTAAAGCCAGGGCCAGCTCCCCAGAGACAAACCAAGATAGGATACCCGTGCCCCAAGTATAACACGGTGTGGCTTCTCTGAGCTGTGGATGGGCTAGGAGGGGCGGGGGTCCTCACCCCCTCCCAGAGGCTGAGTCTGAGGACATAACCCGGTAAAGAAAGCAAAGAGGTCCACCTCGCAGCCTGGGACACAGAGGCTAGGGAGCGAAGAGGAACAGGACAGGGGGAGGGGAGCAGAAGAGGAGCTGGGGGTCTGGGAGGCAGCTGTGGTTTAGATGGGGCTGCGGGGGAGGGGTGCCTGAACGAGGTGACATGGTTCAAAGGGGGTGGCGCGAGAGCAGCCGCAGAGGGAGCAGGCAACGGGGACAGGGTGGAACTGCACCTCCAGGTGGGCGTGGCATGGGGCAAGAGGCTGGGCCTCAGCGTACGAAAGGGTCAGGGTCACAGGTGCTGAGCAACGAAGCCCTGCCCCTCCCGCCCCTGCCCAGCACCCAACACTGACCCCCCCTCCCTTCCTTCAGGCACCCTGAGCGCCTCCCTGCCCTCACCCCACCTAAAACCCTGGACGGTGTATGTATTCAAGCTTCTAGAATGGAAGCCCCGGCCACCACCACCCGGCACAGGCGGCAGTACCCGATCTGCTCTCAGCTCGGCCGCCCGCGGCGGGGTGACCTCCCGCAAGCCGCTCGACCTCTCGGGCAGCTGGGCAGGACAGCGGCACCGCCCTCAGGCTCTTTAAGGGGAATGGTTTCATTAGTTTAATGTTGCTTAACGCCTGGCATACATTAAGCGCCACATAAATGTTTAAGTAACACGTGCTCACGAAATGGTACCCGGGGCTGCCTGGCAAACGCCCCACGGGGCCTTCTTGCTGTCACCTGGCCCCCCCAGAAGGGGTCTCCTCCGGGATCCGGGAAGAAGGGCCTGGCCGGGGCGAGCCCGGGCGCAGAGCGGGACCACACTGGGGGGAGGGCGGACGGCGAATGGGCGCCTCCCCACCCCCACCCCGCGGATTCCGGGGCCATTGTCTGCCGGGCCACAGAGCAAACACTCGGCCTTTGTTCCCGGGACCCTGAGGGAGGGACCGGGGGGGGGGGGACCGCTGGGGATGCCCCCTCCCCCAGCCTGGCCCGCAAACCCGCCGGACAGGTTTGGCTTTCACCTGCCCCGAGGCCCCGTGCGCCGCAGCCTCCCCGCCTCTCCCAGGCCCGAGGGGAGGGCGCGCCGGACTCACCCGCCCGCGCCGGGGTTCGAATCCTAGCGCCCCGGTTCCAGGCCGGCGTCAGCCAACCCTGGGGCGGAGGAGTGGAGGTCCTGGGGGTGACCCGCGGCCCCGCTCCCGCCCCGGCCCGCCCGAGTGAATCACCGCGCAGGCCGGCGGGGCAGCGCGCGTACGCCCTTCCGCGGCCCCTTCCTGCCCGCGGGCGCAGGAGCTCGCCCTCGCGCTCCGACCCCTCCCCACCCTCCTGAGCCTGGCAGCGGGGAGAAACTGAGGCGGGGGCCGCACGGAGGCGCAAGGGCGCGCAGGGCGGGGGGCGCAGAGGTAGGTCTGGGCCGCGAGAGGGTCCCCCGCCGAGCTCCCCACCTCCGGGGTCCTGGGGGGGCGCAGCAGTCTCCCCTCTCGCCCTACAGACTTTCGCGGAGACTGGGGGCGTGTCCGTCCTGGGAAAGTCCCCACACACCAGGTCCCCCCGGCTCTTACCGACCAGCAAGCACAGCACGTCGAGCAGCACGAAGACCCACCTCCGCTCCATGTCGCCCCCGCCCCGGGCCGCCCCCGCGACCCCAGACGCCCGTCCCAGCGCGTCCCGTCGCGCCCGGGCCGGCCGCGGGGTCACGTGGTGGCGGAGCCCGGCCCAGCGCGGAGGGCAGGGAGGGCGGGAAGCGCCGCGACGCGAGGCGGGGGCGCCGGCGGGCGGGGCGCGGGCGGACTCTGCCCCGCGGGCGGGAGCGGGGTGGGGCGCGTGTGCGGGGGCCGCGGGGGCCGCGTGTCCTCCGAGTCCCCGTCCGGAGCGGCGAGGGGTCTCGGAGCGCGGGCGTCGGCGAGGCTCGCGTCACCTGGGTGTGCGGCGCGCGGGCGCGGGCGCGGGGCGGCGCGAGAAGGAAGACGCGCGGTCGGGGCTGCGGGGAGGACGGCTGGGCGCCCGCAGGACTCGTCCCCCGACCCCGAGCCCCGGTTTCCTCTCCGGAAACGGCCGAGCACCGTCCAACGCCCGAAAGCAGGAAGTGCCTTGACACGGACGGCGCCGCGGCTTCCGCACAGGTGCTGCTCCCGCACCTGCGGCCCGGCGCTGGGGGGCGAGCTCCGCCGCGCCCACCTGGGGGGGGTCCTGCTGGCACACCTGCCGTCCCGCTGGACGGAAGAGCACGCGCGGGCGCCGAGGTGGGGACCTGACGACACGGTGCCGGGGCCTCGCCCCCACCAGGTTCTGGGGAGCCCTCAGGTCAAAGGCACCTGCGGTAGGGAAACAGGGCCGAGGGACACTCTGTGACCTAGCGCCCATGGGGGGTCTTCTGGGCTGGGACCATCCCGGAGGCCCCACGTCCTCAGCATCCCTGCCATGATTTTCGCGGACCTTCACACTGGTCCTGTCACTCAAAGCCGCACAGTAGGACGTGGCCGGGCTGAGACTGGAGCCAGACTGCCGTGCCCCGGGGGTCCACGCCGGGACCTCCTCCCCTCCACCCGCCCCCTCCCCAGCAGCGCTAAGACAGGGTGTGTCCTGGCCCTTTTTCACGGCTGAAGGGAGCCAGGGAGGGGCGCGCCTTGGCCCAGGTCAGGCAGCAGGGACTGGAGCTCAGAGCCCTTGAACTCTTTCCCGGGTGGCCGGCGGGGCCAAGTGGCAGCGCGCAGCTGGTCTGGGGCCCTCCAGAGGACAGGCCGCGCTTGAGGGCGGTTCTCTCTGGCCAACGTCTCCCGCGCCCGGGACGGTTCCTTCTCCCAGGCAGTGAGGACGAGCCCCCCACCCACTCAACACAGAATAACTCCGCGCCCCCGCAGGGCTGACAAGACCCTGGGTGGAGACTCTGGTCCCAGACTTTGTCTGTGGTGTGCAAAGAGGGGAGAACGGCATCTCGCGCCATCCACAGGCCCAACAGCGGTCCCCAAGTGCGTGGCTTCCTCCCCCAGCCCCAGGCTTCCTCCACCGCGGTGGGGTTGGACCCTTTGCAGACCCGACTGTTTCTCAGGGTCCCCCCGCCTCCTGCAGCCACTCACGGGGCGGGCGGGCCCCAGGCTCTAGCTCCAGTCATTCACTTGCTAGTTCGGTCATTCATGCAAATATGGAATTAGGGTCGTGAGATTGCCCCCACACCCCCGGGGGCCGGCCTTAAATGCTGCGCGCGCTGGCATGCGGGTTAGCTGCCGTGGTCACTGCGCTTCCCGGCCCTCAGTGCAGTCTCGAAGGCCCACCCACGCTTTGCTCCAAGGTGCGGAGGGCATAACACTGTATTGGAATCAGGACATGCAGGTCATTACTGAGCACCTACTGTGTGCTGGGCAGGAGCAGGTAAGGGGGAGGGGGCGCTGAGGCAGGAGAGACCTAGGGGAGGATCCAGGGAGGCCAGACGGAGGGGGCTGAGGCTGAAGGGTGTTCCCCCTCCCGCACTTCCCTCTGCTCAGGATTTGGGTCAGTCCTTAAAAGCCCTGGGCGGAGGCAGGATTAAAATCTGGTAGGGGCAGCAAGAATTAGGATTAGGGTCAGGATTGGGGTCAAGGCTCCTACACCTGCTGCTGCGGTCCTGCAGGAATTTCTTATTCTGGTCCCCTGCTGTCTGTTCTTCCCTTAGAGGAAGAACCTGAGGCCAGTGTGGCTCCTCCCTCACCTGCAGACGGCAGGGCTGGAAGGGGACTGGCGGTACCTGGGCCCCAAGCTGGGTCCCCTGGGGACAGGACCAGCGCCTGGGAGCCAGCTGGTCACAGCTAGGCAAGGGCACCGCAGGCTGCAGCTCTTGCCCCCAGGCCCAGCACTGGCTCTGCCACTGTGGCGCCTCTTCTCAACCCAGGTTGTGAAGATTGATATCCCTGGGAAGTGGGCAGAAAGGTGTCGGGCATTTGCTTTCTATACTTCTCTTGGGACTCAGAGAGGCAAAGTATCTTGCCCAAGGTTACAAGTCATCTCCCAGATTTGCACCCTGGGGCTCTTGGGCGTTACCCCTCACCCCAGCACCCCCCAATGGTTCTGGAGCCGAGCAGTTGCCCTCAGCGTGTCTGAAGTGCTGGTGGTGGACAGGGAAGGCTATGTGGCTGGATGGTTCGGAGCGACACCTTGGTGTGACTCCATTTTCCATGTACCTCAGTCTCCCCATCTGCACAATGGGGATAGGACAGCACTCCTGCATGGGATTGTAGTGAAGAATAAAGTTTGTGAAATGCTTGACCCAGGGCCAAACTCATTAGGAAACATCACTTAAGGGGCAAATGAATGGTGGGGGGAGGTACCATGACTTCTTCCTGCAGTCTAGGTTAAAAAGGGCTAAAAACCACTATCTTGAAATTCTGAATCCAGCGTGTTTTGCAATCCCAGAAGCACCTCTTAATTTAGGGTCATACAACCGGAGACTCAGGGATAGGATGCCTTCCAGTCTCAGCATTGAGTCTGGCGTCCCAGGACCCCAGCAGTCCTGGGTGAACAAAGCCTCCTCAGACAACCCTGACAGCACAGCGCCCTCCCCGCCCATCACGGCCCACACCCCGAGTCCATAAACTCCAAGATCATCCCTGTCTCCTCCCCAGCCTGAGTTCTGGGACCGCAGGACTGGCACACACTTGGTGCTCAATTCATGCTTGCTTAATGAATGCCTGAACTACTGAGTGCTGAATGAATGATGCTAGGGCCCCAAGCCTGAGATCATCAGGGAAATTACAGCTCCAGGGAGCTCTCAGTCTGTGACGAAGTTTCATGGGGTCACAGCAAAACAAGACATACAAGCAGCAGTGGGGCAGAGCATGTTCTCGAAGGGAGAGGTGGTTTCTAGCTGCTCCCTGCACAAAATGAGAAGGGTGGTACAGGGCCACGCTATGAAATACTCAGTGAAGTCCCCATCACACCCCTTCCTGCACCCAAACCAGGATGCGGTGAAGCCAAGGACAGTGGCCTGGAATACCAGATCGTCTGCAAAGCTGCTACAGACCCAAAGGCCAGGCTCCGACTCAAGAGGAAGAACGACCAGGGCAGTGGGGGAGGGGCGCCTGAGAATTCTGAGTGCCTCTGCGACTCCATCACTGTCCTGCATCACCCAGACATGCTGGTCCCAGGGCAGGGACCGGGGCATTTCCCGAGTGCTCACTACAGGTGACATTTCCAAATCTTCCCTGCACAGGCTGTGTCTTGTTCTCTGGCATTCTACACGGAGGGCTTGGGGAGGCTGTGTGTGAGTGGAGACATTTGCCCAGCCACCACCCCTCCCTCCCCGGGGCCTTCATTCCAGGGGCGGGGCCAGGTCTGCAGCCTGCAAGGACAGCGGTTGCTGGGTCCCCAGAGGGCAGGTGGGCTCAGGAGCGCCCTCTGCCGGACACACAGGCAAAGCACACGGAGCAGGCGCTTTGCACCCCTAGCCTCAACAGCCGCTTTTAGAACAGCCCAGGAAGAGGGTTACCAGATTCAGCAAATAAAAACACAGGACGCCCTAGCTGAGTCCTGATGCCTGTGACAAATAAATAATTAATTAAAAATACAGGACATTCAACTAAATTTGAATCCCAGCATAGCAACTGTTTCTTTGCCTAAGCATGTCCCAGATATTGCATGGGACGTACTTAGGTTAAAACATATTTGTCTGCAATTGGAATCTAAGTGGGTGCCCTGTATTTTATCTGGCCACTTGACCCAGGCACCATAAACTAGGAAGACAAGACCACAAGGGAGAGATGAGCAGGCTGAACAGTGGGGTCAGGACAGTGGGACCAATAGTCAGATTCCAGAGACCACGTCTTCCACATGGCCTGGGCCAGGAGGCTGAGCCTCTGGGGACAGTAGCCACCAGGACTGCCCCCTCTGGCAACTTTCCCCTGCCCCCCACAGCAACTGCCCCAGGAAGTCCAATCTCCAGATGGCCCAGCTGAGGCCTGGCTCCCTCGGGCCCAGGGGCTGCAATCCGCTTTGCTTCCTGCCGTCTCCAGTGGCTTTCCAGCAGGTTTCCACACGCAGTTAAATGCAGGCCGTCACGGAAGATCTTCCCCCCACTGTAAAGAGAAACGGGTGGGCACAGTGGCTCATGCCTGCAATCCCAGCACTCTGGGAGGCCAAGGCAGGAGGATTGCTCAAGGTCAGGAGTTCGAGACCAGCCTGAGCAAGAGTGAGACCCCATCTCTACTAAAAAAAGAGGACACCCAGGCCTGTGCTCATGTTGCACAGGAGACCGGAGGACACCCCCAGGGCTGTGCTCGTGTGACAGGAGACGCGGGAGGACCACCAGGGCTGTGCTCGTGTGACAGAGAACGCGGAGGACACCAGGGCTGTGCTCATGTGGAAAGGAAGACTCGGGAGGACACCCAGGGCTGTAACTCGTGTGACAGGAGACGAGGGAGGACACCAGGCTGTGCTCATGCTGACAGGAACGCGGTAGGACACCAGGGCTGTGCTCGTGTTGACAGGAGACGCGGAGGACACCCAGGGCTGACTCGTGTGACAGGAGACGCGGGAGGACACCCAGGGCTGTGCCCGTTGTGACAGGAGACGCGGAGGACACCAGGGCTGTGACTCGTGTGACAGGAGACTCGGAGGACACCCAGGGCTGACTCGTGTGACAGGAGACGCGGGAGGACACCCAGGGCTGGGACTCGTGTGACAGGAGACTCGGGAGGACACCCAGGGCTGGACTCGCGTGTGACAGGAGACGCGGGACGGACACCCAGGGGCTGACCGTGTGACAGGAGACTCGGGAGGACACCAGGGCTGTGCTCGTGTGACAGGAGACGTGGGAGGACACCCAGGGCTGACTCGTGTGACAGGAGACTCGGGAGGACACCCAGGGCTGACTCGTGTGACAGGAGACGCGGGAGGACACCCAGGGCTGTGACTCGTGTGACAGGAGACTCGGGAGGACACCCAGGGCTGACTCGTGTGACAGGAGACGCGAGACGACCCAGGGCTGACTCGTGGACAGGAGACTCGGGAGGACACCCAGGCTGTGCTCCGTGTGACAGAGACCGTGGGAGACAGCACCAGGGCTGACTCGTGTGACAGGAGACGCGGGAGGACACCCAGGGCTGACTCGTGTGACAGGAGACTCGGGAGGACACCCAGGGCTGTGCTCGTGTGACAGGAGACGCAGGCACCAGGGCTGACTACGTGTAACAGGAGACGCGGGAGGACACCAGGGCTGTGCTCATGTGACTACAGACTGGAGACATGCAGGAGAGCATGGCATCAGAGGAAACTTGAAGTGTACCAAAGAGCGAAGAAATAACAGACCAGGAGCAAGAGGCGGGGCCACAACCACGTCAGGTCCGCGTCGCAGCGCAGGAAGCTAGACCCAGGCACGCTGTAAACCGCGTGAATACCTAAATGGATTACGTATTACGAGAGAGATCTCGATTTGGCAAAATAAAAGGTGACAAAAATTACTGGAAATAGAAACCAGGAGTAAAAAGAATATCTTAAAATGTCAAGTATAAGCCATATAATTCCATATTATATACAACTGGAACTTCAGAAATGAAGGTGGAATTAGAGCCTTTTCAATCCAATAAACTAAAAGCATGCTGGCAGCCCAGACCTAACAGCACACTAAAGCTGGCACTTCAAAGACCAAGACAGAGTCCACCTCGACACTGGAGTCTCCGCGCCCGCAGTGCAGAACACACGCTCAAAGCTGCGGAAAACCGCATGGCAAGGCCACTAGGAGCCAGGGCGCGGTCGGCATCACGCCTTTACATACCTGGCACAATACTGAGGACCAGAGGAGAGCGGATTGCTCGAGGACATCGAAACCAGCCTGCAGCAAGACAAGACCCGTCTCTACATAAAACAGTAATTGCCAACTTATATATATAGAAAATTAAGCCCGGGCATTGGTGGCAACCCATGGCTGTAGTCCCAACTACTCCGGAGGCTGA